CCCGCCCTCAGGCTGCCCGGAGGGTGGCGGTGCCCGGGGCACCCCGCGCCTCTCCTGCCTGCCTCGACTTCTCCCGGAGCTGGGCTGGGTGCCACGGGCCTGCCAGGCCGCTCTCAGGGGTACCGGGCCTCCCTGAACGGCGGTCACAGGGTGCTGGGCGGAGGCTGAGGAGCGTGGGTCCTGATCTGGTGATGAACCTGGCACAGAGGGCTGGACGGGAGCCTGCTGGCCCCTTTGGCTGAGTCGATGTGGACGTTTTGCCGGTAGTGGAGCTTTAATATCAGTTATTTTGTACTTCACCCTGTCTAAGATCACTGAGCATCCGTCTTTCTGTTCAGGAGGGAGTTTAAGCTAGAAATCTGAGCGGCAGCGTTTACACTGTGACATGTCATCCCGAGGGGGATAAAAACATGGTTGAATTCCAAGCCTTTAGTGCATTTTCCCTGCCTGTTAGTGCTGACAGGGGGGTTGGTAACAGGTGTCAAAAGAGCTAATTGTGCTCATTTGGCCATGGCAAAATGGTGGAAGGAGTTACTGGTTATTCTTACCCTGGCTATGAGTTCTATGGGTTTGTCTAGCAGGAAAGAGATGAAAGCTGATTAGCTGCTTTCCACTTATAAACCATACAGAGGCACAGCATCAGTTAACTAAATCAATTTCTGAATTGCTGTTTCAGATGTTAGCTTTTTTCTTTTTCTAGAGAGAGTTTACCAGGTGCTCTGGTTCTGCCTGAATTACACAATGTGAGCACAGAATTCACATGAAAAAGAGCTGAATTTGCATCTTTCTGCATCAGGATTTTCCTGAATTCAGGGCAGTGCTTTGCACGTCTGGGAAAGTCCTTTGTTGTTTAGTTTCTGAAATAATGGTAAGGATACTTAAGTTGTGGTTTTTATTAGGCCAAAGGAACAGCTGGTAAAGCAATTTAGTATTGCCTGTGAGGGAGGTTCAAGTTATTGCCACAAACACAAACCTTTCACAGATGGCTTCAAAACTGGGATTGTGCCACATAGCCTGGTTTTGTGGGAGAAATGTCCTAAAATATAACTGAACTGGAAATTATCTGCCTATGTGTTTGTCTGATACATGTCTCTGCCACCAGTAGGTGGCTTTCTACCCATTTTTGTGCATTCTTGCTGTCTCAAACCCCAGCATGCAGCACAGCACTGGGTTTGAAACTTCCTCACTGTAGAAAGTCTGAGGCATGTTTACAGCACTCTAATCTCCTGGACTAGCTGAACAAGAGCACTCCAAAAGCAGCACAAGCACCAAGGAGATTGTCATGTTCATAGTGTGGATTCATAAATTGTCCTCAATGGCCAGATAATCTTCTGTAACAAATTATGATGTCTGTGCAGGGGGTGTACTGAACATAGTTAACTTTGGCCATATTGTCCTGCTCATGTGCCTGAAGGACTCACTCTAGTGGCTCCTGGTTTAAAAAAAACAACAACAACAACTAAAAAAAAGCCTGTGCCTTACAAAAAGGTCCAGAACTCATAAGGGAACAGGTAACCTGTAGCCACAGTAAAAGTTGAGGTGCTTCTGGATGAAGCCTAGGTGTGAAAACAGAGCCAGCAGGGTGTGGGTCTGTGGTTTGGTCTCCAGTGAAAAGCCTGCAGCACTCTGAACAGGGCTGGCTGCTGCCACTGTGCAGGCTGGGGGCTGCTGAGAGCTTCCAGGGCCTTCACTGGAGCTGTTCCTGTAGCCATGCTGGGAACAATGGAACGATTCATTCTACAGCCAGCGTGGGCTACTACATCTCCTTTGTGTGTCCACGGATCCTCTGGCGTTGGGTTGGATTCATCATGTGTGAGGGGGTTTGGTGTGGGATGTGAGTGCAGAGCTGTAGCCTAACCAACTTGAGAACCACACTGAATCTCAGCAGGCCCTTCCCCAGCCTTTTCATGAAGGGACTTGGCTCTGGGATGGATATAAGCAAAGGGAAGGTCATTAGTTATTTAATGATTTTGCATAAAACTCAACATTCTACTAGGATGTTGACTCCACGTTCTTCTTTACTTGCCATTTAGGTGATCCTACTATGAGTCCGTGTTCTTCTTTACTTGCCATTTAGGTGATACATAAGGCTCAACAGCAGCCAAAGCTCTGATGAGAGGTATCCTGGAGCATTACAGTGTGGACAGCTTGACACTGCTGTGTTCATGAGTCCTTCTTGAGTCCAGTCCATGTCAGTTGTGGTAAATTTGGGCTCCTGACATGGCACAGATAAGGAATTGCTCCTTGCTGACGCCCGTTGGGCTTTTTTATCGCTCTTGAGTTTTTATTCCTGCCCCCTGACACCTCCTGTTCTATTGGTTTGAGGTTACTGGCATGTTTTTATAGGAAAGAAAGAATATTCATGTGTTTGTGCTGTGTGTAGCCTGGTGCAGAATGGCTTCTGAATACCGCAGCTTCCGACACAGCCTGCCCTGGCTCATCCTCTCTCTGCAAGTGGTTCTCATCATCCTGTTTTACTTTACTTTCCCAGGTCAGCGTGTGTCCATTTCAAGCGTCACCTACCCAGGTAAGATGATCAGCCTGGCTGGGAAGGGAAGGTTTAGTGCCTGCTCCTGTTCTGCAGTGCCACAGAGTTGGGGTTCAGCA